TCTTGTGAAATGTCTTGATATAATATCAAGGTCAAAAAGGTGTTGCATTGTTCTATAATCAAACAATAAAATTCTAGATATATGTATCTATCTATTTATATATAAGTCTGTAGAGGGTAAAGCTTTCACAAGGGTCATTGTCAGTGATAACTGTTCTTCAGAGTCTACATTAGCAACGAGGAAAATTATTTTCTTAGAAAGTAAATAGCTAATGTGAATCAATTTAATTTTATCAAAAATATATAGTTTACGATATTAGATTTAGATACGATTTTTTTCTTAATTTTTTTTTATTTGTTGATTTACATACATTTTTTTCAGAATATCAATCTCATCTGTTAACATTTTTTTTTAAATAATTTCTAATAATAATATACGATATTTCTAGTTTTATTTGATAAGAACTGGTAAGAACTAATCTTATGACGAAATTAATTTCTCTATCGCTTATTATCATTATGTGTCAACACAGCAAAATATCAGATATTTTTAGTATATAATAATAAGTATAACAACACATTGCAGAAATTAAAGAAAAAAAAGGAAACATAGATAACAGAATGAGCATACTTGAGCAACTACATAGCTCTTTATACTTATCCCTCTCTTTTAAGTATTGTTTTTCTCATTTAAAGTATGCAATTGAGTAATGTTTGTGTTACTCTGCGATTGACGTCGTTCGTAATCTTTTTTTTTTATTCTGTGTGCTGCACGGAAGCAGCATTTTCTCAAACGAACGCGCGATGCACGCGAGCGTGGGCTGATATCACGGGTAAAAGAGAAGTGAGCGTTGAAAAATATGCATTGGAAAGTTTTTTTGATAATGTATGTATATGTTATAAACAGCGCATAATTGTAAAGAATGAACCACAACTAGCAGAATAGTCGTGTGATACGGTGCGGTCTGTGAACTGGGAGTACTCTTGTAGTTCAATCTGCACTAATATTACAATTGCACACAAGCTGACTCTGCGAAGCATACGAAATGTTTCGTCTTGCAAGGAACAAGGTACACATTTGATCTGGAATTAGTATGAAATAATCTATCATAAAGAAAATAATTTTATTTCCATAAGAAAATAAAAATATATCATATTTAATATTTCTTTTCATTTCATTTCAGTTACCTAAATGGGGTCTTAGAAATAAACGAGCGGTTACTACGTTCAAAGAGAACGAGGCGAAGAACATTGATGTACCTAGCAATGCAGACGTTGTGATAATAGGTAAGTTTAGACCTGTAAAGAAAAATGTAATCAAACGTATAGTAAAAATTAAATAAAAATTGATTATTCTATCTATCTATTTATACATATATATTAAAATTCACATTTTTTGGCAATGTATTTTTGTATATAATACTAGAACGTAATAAAATCTTAATTAAATATTAATCAATATTTATATATATAGATTTATGTTTATTGATATGTTCGATAAAAATTATTGTGATAGGTGGTGGCAGTGCTGGTTGCAATGCACTTTATCAGTTAGGAAAACGTGGTGTCAACGCAGTGCTTTTGGAAAAATCTAAGCTTATATCTGGCACAACATGGCATACGGCAGGCCTCGTGTGGAATTTTCGTGGTCTATGCGACATAGAGACGGAGTTACTAAAAGCTTCGCGGATGCTTTATTCATCTTTGCAAGAAGAAACAGGCATAAATCCAGGATGGATAAATAACGGTGGACTTTACATTGCTCATTCTCCCGTGAGTTTAAATATCTCTGTTCAATTGATATGCTTCTATTGTTTTGATGAATAAATATTCATTGTTTTTCGTAGGAGCGAGTGACCGATTATGAAAGATTAACTACTAGTTGTAAGAATTTTGATATTGATGCACATATGATTGATCCGGTCGAGACAAAAGAAAAATTTCCTCTTTTGGATAAAAATTCATTTCTGGCTGCAGTATACTGTTCAGCGGATGGTACTATAGATCCTGCCATGTTAGTAAATGCATTAACAAAATCAGCAGAAAAAACGGCTGCAAGGTATACATTTTTTCATTAGCATTTTTTATTATCAAATTTCTACAGTACATATTTACATAATAATAAAACTAATTTTATATCTAAATTCTATAAGTTAATAATAGAATAAATTCTATAAATTAAGAGTTATTTGCTCGATAATGATACAATATAAAAAAAATTACTGTTAATTGCTAAACTGAGCTAAATGAATATAATTCTTTAAGATCATCGAGGATTGTCCTGTCACTAAAATTCTCATCGAAGATACTGATGGTCATAAAACAGTTCGCGGAGTGAAAACGCCTCATGGTATTATAAAAACCAACGTTATATTAAATGCGGCGGGAGCATGGTCTGGAACAATAACACGAATGATAGGATTGGATATTCCATTGGTGCCAATGAAACACGCATACATCGTTACTGAACCGATGAACGTACGAGGGTTGCCAAACGTTCGAGATCCTGATTTTAATATCTACTTTCGAGTGCAAGGTGGAAATATAAACATCGGAGGATATGAGCCAAATCCTATCATATTGAAATTTGTAAGTTATATTGTATACATGTTAAATGTAAGATTAAATTTAGTTGGTTATAAAAAAAATATATACTGTAAATAAATATATAATATCTGTAATATCTACAAGATAATTGCTATTGTTTATTTACGTACTGTTTGACTCAAATGATATATATTGTAAAGCCGCCGGAAGATTTTTCCTTTAGTCTGTATGAGTTGAATTGGGACGTATTCAATACCCACGTAGAAGCCATGAATCGATTAATGCCCGCTTTGGCGAATACTGGGATAAGAACGACCGTCTGCGGCCCAGAAAGTTTCACTCCTGATCATAGACCTATTATGGGTACAAAATTTAAGCATTAATTTATGATCGACGATTACGTGACAAAGGAATATTAAATTTTAAATGCAACAATGTCTAAAAGGTGAAGATCCACGCTGCACAGGTCTTTATTATTCTTGCGGATATAATAGTGCCGGAATGATGTTTGGAGGTGGTTGTGGAGAACAAATAGCATTATGGATAATTAATGGACGACCGGACAGACACATGTTCAATCAGGATATAAGACGGTAATAAAATCTTATTAGTCCATTTCTACTAATGTCTATTAATTTTGATCTCAGTTTAATTTACTTTTTATTTTTTTTTTAATTCTTAGAATAAAAAAAAGTATATTAAATTGAAGTTAAAATTAATTTTATTAGAATAAAATAGATATTAAAAGTTATATCTACTTAACTAATTAATTTTTAGATTTATCAATCATTATTTCATACAATATGTTTTATATTTTTATTTATATTTTTATCAATATAAAAAAATGAGAGAGAGAAAGGAGTCAGCAATATGGCAAGTAGGATGCATTATTCCATCAATATATACAACTAAAATCTTTGTATATTTTATCCATAGGTATATACCAGAACAAAGAAAAAATTCAGTTTGGGTGAATGAGCGAAGCCATGAAGCCTATGCAAAAAATTACGATATTCGTTTTCCACATGACGAACATTTGAGTGGCAGAAATTTGAAGACAGATCCTTTCCACAATGTATGCTTTACGTTAATTTAAACTTCGATTCTTTAAACTTCCAAATTCCCTCTTTTTGACTTTTTATATTATATACTTTTATATTTATATACTATCTTTTAGTTCCTCGTTAATGAAGGTGCAGTTATGGAAGAACGACAGGGATGGGAACGTCCAGGATGGTTCCTACCGGATAACAAAATAGCTCCAGTTTTACCTTATGATTATGATGGCTATTATGATATTCCAAAAAATACAAATAACACATATGCTGATATATTAAAAACAGAACGTACATTTAATTTTCCACCGCACGATAATATTGTAAGTTTTTTTTCTGACTGACTGTCACATAAAATGTTTTTATATCAAGAAAAAATATCAATTCGATAATTGTTTATGTACAGATACGGGAAGAAGCACTCGCATGCAGAAATAACGTTGCCTTATTTGACATGTCGTATTTCGGAAAACATTACTTATGTGGTCCAGACACAAAAAAAGCGGTAGATTATATATTTACAGCTCGAGTAGATCGAGAAATTAACAGAACTGTATACACTTGTATGTTGAATAAAAAAGGAGGTACAGAAGGCGACTGCACTGTCACTGGTCTAGAATCTGGCTCAGGTGGATTAGTCGATCCCATATTTAAGGGAAAAGCATTTTACGTAGGTACGTCCTCACACCTTTTATATTTTTCATACATTGCATTTAAAATTTCAATCTCACGTTATTAATATTCCTATTTTTAATTTTAGTAAGTGGAGGCATGTCATCATATCATACTTGGGCGCATATCAGTAAAGTAATAAGAGATAAAGGTTTTAATGTAACTGTGCACAATGTGACAGAACAGATAGGAATTTTATCGATTCAAGGTCCAAACAGGTATCAAAATTAAATGCAAATACAAATATATAAATGTTACAAAAATACATCTCATATCTCATGTATCATCCGTTATTATAGCCGCCAAGTTCTTCGAATGTTAATCGAGGATGATCTCTCCAATAAATCATTTCCATTTTCAACTTCAAAATTGATGCGAATAGAGGGTGAATTAGTACACATATTCAGACTTAGCTTCGTAGGGGAACTTGGTTTCGAATTACATATACCGAGAAGCTCATGCGAAAAAGTTTATAAAGCTTTAATGGAATGTGGTAAAAAATATGATATGAAACTAGCCGGCTTTAGAGCGCTCTATAGTTTAAGTTGTGAAAAAGGTATAGCAAAAATTGTTGATTATTTTTTGCATTATATGATATTATTTTAATCTGTACTAACTCGTAATAATTAATTCGTTTATCAGGTTATCATCTTTGGGGTACAGATTTAAGAACGGATGATAATCCGATAGAAGCGGCTTTAGAAATTGTCTGCCGCAAAAACGGCAAATACTTAGGAAAAACAATTGTTGAACAATGTCGTAAAAATGGAATAAAGAAAAGACTGGTACATTTACATACAAATGAGTAAGTACATCTTTTCGCGATGCATTTGACTCTGATCAAGTTATCAATATTTCAAACACATGTTGATCATGCAAAAAAATAAATATTTAATTATAGCGATGTACCTTTATGGGGTATGGAGAGCGTTTATAGAAACAGTCAATTAGTTGGTTATTTAAGAAGAGCTGAACGTGGATATACTTTTAAAAATGGTATTGGATTGGCGTAAGTAAAATATAGATAATCAATAATAAAAATATAAATAATTACATATTATTTATATTTGTGTGTTCATTTTTTGTTATTCAGATACATCATAGCTCCAAATGGACAAAATGTTACAAAGGAATTTTTAGAAACGGGCACTTACCAAATCGAAGCGAGAAGAAAAAGATATCCCGCAAAGATGTATCTTCAGAGTCCATTCGACCCACAGAACAAAAGATTATCAGGTGTATATACGATATAAAAATATTTATCAATATTATTTTTTTTTACTCTAAATCATCTGTAAAGGACAATTATATGTATAACTTAATAATTACGAATATTTCATATTTTTTCATTTCTTTTTATATATTGATAGAATAATACAAATTACTTGTGTTACTATGATGAATAGTAAAAAGTTCATTTTATCCCTTAAACTTATCCTGCTAATGGGTTAGCATGTATAGTTACATTATTTATCCTGATTTCTGCAAGCGGTTTGTAATTCTTAGGATTCACTGGTAATTTTTCCAATTGTTCCAAAGTTTCCGAACCATCAATGACTCTAGGTAAACAGAAACCCAATAAAAAATTATTATAATTTTGCACTTTATTGCACAGCAAAAACTATATAAAAGAAATCAAACTTACTTTCCAAATAATGTATATTTTAAATCTAAGTGTGATTGTGGTGCATAAGTTATAAAAAATTGACTGCCATTTGTATTAGGACCATTGTTAGCCATGGAGACGAGGCCCCTCGCATTATGCTTTAACTCTTCTTTAAATTCATCCTCAAATTTGCGATTCCATATGGAGGTTCCTCCTTTACCAGTATTAGTAGGATCTCCAGTTTGGACAATAAAACCTTTTATGTTTCGATGGAACAAGCAATTGTCATAATATCCACTAGCACAGAGTGCAAGAAAATTCTGAAATAAGAATGTTGATACATAATGTCACAAAAATTATATTATATATTCCTTCTGTAATTATTTACAATACATGCGTCATAATGCATATATACAAATTTTTGAACAAATAAAATATCACAAAATAATTATATAATCATACATTAATGATAACAAAATTGTTATTATAGAATAAAGGAAGGGCAGGAAATAATATTTAATAGAAAAACACTTAATAATTATTATCTGTAAATGGAGTTGGATCCATGATAAATTTAAAATTATATTAATTATATTAATAATAGTAAGTATTTATTTAATAATTGCATATTCATTGTCTTTGAATATAGCCAAATAGGAATATTTTGAAATTCTTAATGACACTGTTGTTACATAGTTGTAATAGATATATGGCAGAAAAGTTTTA